CAAGTACTAAATTGTAGCGTACTTAGATTTTCATGTTCGGAGGGAAAATTTTTTATAATTGCGATGTCAAAACGTGTTATAAGAGGAACGAAAAACGTTCCTAATATCCGAAATGTATGGGATCACATGAAAATATCAAAATAAAAAAAATTTTTTAAGCAAACATATTTTCCTTCATTTTTCAATAGAATGATGTTACAAATGATCAAAAATAATGAAAAAAGTGTTTCATTTCAAATTTAAGCACATTTGTGAAAATTCATTCTTGAGCTTTTTCAGTGTAAGCAGACATAAAAATGTTTTAAAAGTAATCGATGGAAAATTCTGAAACTATCAGAAGTTGTTGTGGATCGTTTCAAAATTATTCTCTAAAATTTTCATGGGATTTGAACGACAACTTTAATTTCCTCACTATTAATTTCCCCAACAAGAATTAAAACACATGATTTGAGTGTTATAAGAGTAACGCTCGTGTTTAGGGGAAATTAATGGTGAGGGAAAAGTTGTCGTTCGAATTCAATGAAAATTTCAGAGAATAATCTTGAAGTATTCCACAACAACTTTTGAAAGTTGTAGAATTTTCTGTCGATTACTTTTAGAAAATTTTTATGTCAAACTTTTCATACCCAAAACATGAGTCCAAAAATGTTATAAGAGGAACGACACTTTAAAATTCGCTCCTCGCTAAACCGCTTGACTTTTTCAACCGCTGTTTTTTTCTAAAATTAGTACTCAATAAGCTTTATTTACAAAATTAAAAGCGCCGAGATATCTTGCTTAGTTTTGAAAATATTCAGCTTTGAAGTTTGAAAAACGTTATAAGAGGAACGATAGAATGCCCCATATTTAACAAGATATTTAACAAGAAGTTTATTGCGAGAACTAAATTTTTTTTCTCAACTTCTCAAACCCGTGTACTAGCTGACCTTCCAACCAGAGTTGGGCGATCCATTTTCCGATACGGATCGGCGATCCAAAANTGTTTTTTTCTAAAATTAGTACTCAATAAGCTTTATTTACAAAATTAAAAGCGCCGAGATATCTTGCTTAGTTTTGAAAATATTCAGCTTTGAAGTTTGAAAAACGTTATAAGAGGAACGATAGAATGCCCCATATTAATTCAAAATTTTAATTACTTATCTATGTAACTGTCATTTAATTGCATAGCAAGAGCTTTCAAATCATCTACAATTTTTCTCTCTAACTCAACAAGATCTTCAAGATCATTTATCGCAGAAAATATTTCACAACTAAAATACTTTAAAAGAATTAAAAACAAATAAATTAAAAGTGAAAATTTCATTATTAAGTATGTATCTCTTTTAATTCATTCAATCAACTGACACATTCAGACACTCTCGAAAAAACAAAAAGAAAAAGTACCCAATTGTGTCAATAATTGAAAATTTACTTGAGTGTCGATTAATTTTTCCAATTAATTCAGTTAATTAAAAATAAATAAATTGAAAGTGAAAATTTCATTATTAAGTATGTATCTCTTTTAATTCATTCAATCAACTGACACATTCAGACACTCTCGAAAACACGAAAAGAAAAATTACCCAATTGTGTCAATAATTGAAAATTTACTTAGTGTCGATTAATTTTTCCAATTAATTCAGTTATCGTTAAGTTTCTTCATTTTATTTAAGATAAAATTTTAAAAGAAACTTTGCTTCTACCCACTTCTTTCTGATTCATGATTTACTACTTTGTTAAATATTAAATTGCATATTTGAAACGTTGAATCGATGATGGTTGAAGTATTGCAACTCATAATTAAAATTACAATTTTTCACTAAGTTTAGTTTGCAATGATTTATCTTTAAAAGGGATTGTCTAAGCCCCACCAAGCTTAAACTATTCTTTGAAATAATAATTAATGGAAATATAATTTTATTGAAATGTCAAGAGTTTGTGCACAGTAATGAAGGTCTGTGAAATAAAATAAATTTTCAACAGCTTTTAATTGCTACAAAGTTCTTGTATGATAAGATGAAGATTATATTTTATAACGTTATTCAGTATCTAAAAGCTTAGAGACCATCATTAAGGCTGCTTAATCTGTTCTAATGATGATGAATGTATCATATTTCAATAATCTCCAACGATTCGTTGCTTCTCATCATCAAAAGTGTTTATTAAAGAGGCGAAATGACGCAATAAAATTAGTCAACATCCGTAAAATAAATAAGGCACAAAAAGTGTCTCATTAATACCTTACTTGGTTTAATATAATTTTATTTCAATTAGCTATGCCATTAGCCGAGAAAGCACTACTCTTGTAAGTTATTTTATGGCATTTTAATAGACCTTGAAAGTGGTCAGTCCACATTTTCAATGTAAAAATTCATAAATTTCATTATAAAAAGCCCGACACTCACCTACATTTGGACATTAGAGATGGATCTTAATGAATTCATCACAAAACAATTTTTTAATTGATGAGGTTTGGAAATGTATCCGTTAGTTAATGATTAATGTTGGAAAAGCAAAATAGATTAACAGAATGTCGCTTTTTTGCTTCATAAAAGGAAGAGATAAATAAATGGCTCGTGGTTGGTGTGATGCGTGAATCATGCTGGTGCGAGAAGCTTCAAGCTTGTCAAAATAATCAGAAGATAAACCGAGAGAAATTAATAGATTGGCATCCAATTTAAAATGGAAATATCATAATTTATTGGTAAAATAATTAAGTCAAACATTTTTACGACTGCGCTTTTTAAGCCGATTTGTTGTAAAACTCTTCCGAACGATCATTAAATTTTATGCTTAACCAAGAGTTGTTAAAAATGGACTTTAAATGTGGTAAAATATTTGCATAATTTTTTATTTTCGATTTTTGGTTGAGATTTTGTTGAATTGCTAGTCATTGAATGTTAAGAGCATGATTAACATTATTTTGTGAATATGCAAACTTGAAATTAATTAAAAATGTTGATATGTTGTATAACCTTACATAGAGTTGAATGAATCGATCACTGCCAAATTCAGGTGACGATTTCGACACTTAAAAACCATGCAAAAGCAAAATGAATCTGATAGCTCGTTTTAGTTTCCATATTAAACTTTAATCTCTTCCGTTGAGGTCTTTCAAGAGACAATGTGTGGCACAATAAACAGAATTAGCAGAATTATCGTCAATTCCCCCATATAAGTTTATCTCTCGCTCGTCAACGAATCTTGCATCGAATCAATTTTCTGTGTTTATGGAAATTTGCGAGAGATTTTCAGACAACAAATTACTAAACATATTTTTTTTCAGCTACCTTATTTGTGCAATAATTTTGAGATTAAATCTCCATCGTTTGGATCGTATTGAAAGTGTCGATAATTCTCATCGGTTTTTAAAGTCTTTCTTAACACATTTTCTGTCGTTTTCTCTTTCTTAGAATTATAAAGTCATTTTCGTGTTTACCTTTGATTTCAAACTAACGATAAGGCACCAACTAGCAGCCTTTCATGTATGCGGAGAATTTCTCAGATTTATTTGCATTTTCAAAAAAGTGATAAAACAATCTTCAATAACTTTCTGTTGAAAATTTGTTGTGTCGTCGATAGTTGAAGTAAGAAATGATAAAAATCTGAGTTTATGAAAATATTTCCATTATGAATGTAAACGGTTGGTTGTTAAAAATGTTAAGTATCTTAAGAGTTTAGTTGGGGTTATCGATTTTTTATCTTCATCTTGTGGGACAAACGTCTGGTTTCTTGATGGAATCTTCTTCTGTGAATTGAATGCTTCTAAACATCTAAGTGGAAACACATGGTTTTATTATTTAATTTATGTACAAATTTTCCTTTATTAGTTGTCATCTATTTCGATATAAATTATTCTTCTTTAATCAAAATTTTCATTTCTTTATTTTGGTTCTTTTAGTTACAAAGTACAGAAAAATATTTTCGTCGAAATCAATTGAAGAAATAAATTTTAAATCGGCGATGTTTATGGCATTTTAAAATATAAACTGTTGCAGCTTCATTTTAGTGATTTGATAGTTTCGTGTGATAGAGAAGTTTAAAAATTATTTGTCAAATGATTTTCTATTTACATGAGTTTCTTACTTTACTCAATTAATTAACAGTTTAGTTAGTTTCATCATCCTCGGTTTGTTCACATTTCTCTCTCCTCTGCTTCTGAATTAATGTGACAACATTCATTTTTTTGTTTCATTTGCATTTTTCATGAATTTTAAATATGTCGTCACATACATCCAGACATTGTGAAATGCAAACCACGTAAAGCAGAGTCATTTTCGACTTCAATCATTCTCACTCCCATTTCAATCACATTTATTCAATTTTCACTTTCATCATTTCAATAAATATATTTTAAAAAAAATTCGTAGCAAAATCTTCTCATGAAAAATTGTTTGACTTATGTTTGTTTGTGATCGTTCTTTACATGCGTAACATTACCACATTATCCACATCCAAAAACTACGAACTTTTGCTCCCTTTCCTCTTCTTCCAAATTGAAACATGGAGAGAAGAAATATTTAGTTAATGATAATGATGCATCATAAATTTTTCACGTTCAATGTTGTATTTATTTACCTCGCTGAAGCTCAACTTCGGGTGTGGTAAAAACGATACAAGAATGAAAGGTGAAAGAAAACAAAATTCTCAGTAAAAAAAACTAATCGTAAAAATTTACAATTCAACAGACAAGATAGATGTGACATCAGAAAGAGAGCGAATTATTTATTTAAGAGAAAAACTTCTAAGAAATGCTAACAGATATGATGACGAGTTTCACTCCATGGAAAAAAAATTTCCTCAAATAAAAAGTTGAAATTCTGACAGTTTTCGTAAGCGACATTAAATTATTTTTTCTTTCTCCATCTCTGCTACTGGAATATTAGATGAAATATTCATTTTCTCCACGATTTTAGACACTTTTATAGGTCGTAAATTATTCATTCATCAGATCGTTTGCATTGAGAAATGTTAATCTTTAATTCGGAAAAAAAATTGATGGATTGTTTGGTTATGAAGTGAAGTGTTTAAATAATTCTCAGATAATCTTTCTAATCACAAGTTAGGCATTTAGATGAATGAAAATTTTTCCATTGTAATCGATATGAACTCGTCTTGAACTTATTAATTGCAACTTTTTATGTCTCTAAAGACTTCCTTATAGATTTACAAGTTTCACTAGACTTTCTTTTGTATATTTTAGGAATTGTTTATGAAAAGTATTGTCTCATTAGTTCACTTCGAAATGTTAATTAATTATTAAAATTCTTCTGTGTGTGTGTGTAGAGATGATTCAGTAATACTTTTGATTTTCTCGTTGTTCTTATGTTACATCATGATGAACGATTATGTTTTAGTAGCATAAATTCTTAAACTTCTCCAAACGCCCTTTAAATTCATCTCTCCACTCAATAACGATTGAACGGTTATTGATCTCCAATTCGTTTCGATGATGTTGCTTCGTATGCTTGCCAAGAATCAAGTAAGATCTGTTTTTAAGGGGGAGAGAAATCAAATTAATAACTCGTTCATTCAACAATATCGATTTATTGAATTAACTCACTTATTAATTTCCAGATTAGGACAGCGACAGTTGCTGTCCTTTGCAGGTACGACTAGATGGATTTTCTTGCTCTTCACTGAAATCGGATTGCGTCCTTCACTATTTTTATAAGTATGACTTATGACAATGCTGTAGCGCATAGCATCACGACGACTTGATGAACTACTCTTGCCAGTGACTTTCGCAAGAATTGCTGTTTTCGGTTCAAAAAAATAATCGAATTAAAAACAGAGGAAAAAGCGGATTAACTCGAAATATTTTTTGCACATTATAATTATTCAAAGTCGAAATGGAAATGTTCATGCTTTGTTGTGGCTTATTCTGAACAAAAAGAGATTCAACATCGTTTGGCGAGAAGATTGGAAAATAAATTTTAATCTACTTTACTGTCCGTCCATTTATAATCCCACAATAAAGACAGCAGCTTGTTGATGACAAATGTCAAAATAAAAGCGTTTGAAGTTCTTTTTATGTCGACTTCTTATTTATATTTATTATTTTGAGAGTTTTGGCATTGTCTTTGAAGCTTAAGTTAAATTCTTTTAAATCATCTTGAAATCATATTATCTTAGCATTGATTTTTGTATGTTAATCGTGTGAAAATCGTTAATGGAAAAATCAACATGTGAGAATAAGCATGACTAAAACATTACAATACATCAATCAGACAAGTGTACCTTAAGAAAATAAATAATTTTATCACTTGAAAGCGTTAATATTTATGTAAAATAACCACAGCTTGAAAAAGACTTCAAGTGATGATTTTTATAATGAAGTTTCCTTAAAAGAAATCTTGAATTCTTTTTTATGAATGTCGAGTTTCATCCACAAAAAATATTTCGATTTCCTTCATTCAAGCAATCCCTTTCTACTTACCGTAGTCTCTTTTGCAGAATTTATTATTATTCAATCGCTGTGCCTCAATTTTACATTTGCAGTCTGTTGAAGAAAAAAAAGACAGACGGGAAAGGAAGAAAAAATCATTGAAATGAGAAAAGTTTTGATAAGAGAAGAAAAAAAATCTTTCAAGTATCATCAAAAAATGTAATTCAAATAAATCAGATTTAATTTTGTTCCTTCACATTTTTTACAATAAAAAAACAACCGAAGGGTATTTGACCAACAAAAAGTTTTAACAGAAGACTTTTCATTGCTGAAAAAAGCTTCATTTTAATCCATGAAATGATTGAAATTTCCTGAAGCTTTCAAATACTCAGACCTTAGATTAAATTGTTTAAATAAATTTTCTTGTATTTATAAAAAAATATTTCAAGACGTTCGTTGTCGAAACTTGAAACGGAGAGAAAGTTTAATTTAATAAAAAGAGGCTGTGATGATATCAAAATAATTATCTTTGGTGCTTCTTCGTTTTACGACTTGAAGAAACAAGAGCGAAGAAAAGTTTTTATTACTTTCGAAATGAGATATTTTGATATGAAAAGCATTTTAGGGTGAGAGTGTGGGTGGGTGAGTAATGAAAACAGAGAACTATAAAACATCATCATAATTACTCTTATCATCCTTTGACTTTGGTCTGACTTCAGTTTGATCGCTGTAATACGATTCGGGTGCCGTGTTTTGTGGTAGATTCATGTTGATAACACGCGGTTCTGTGAGGAGAATAAAACGAATTCATTTATTTACATTGTGGTCAGCTTAAGTCAACTAAACTCTTACTTATACATGGAGCAATATGAGATCGACTTTGCTGATAACCTGGAGCGCATCTATTACAAGTCAATCCCGTAACGCCTTCTTTGCATGTACATTTTCCACTTGTATTGTCGCATGCTTTTCCTGTTGATCCAACAGCATGACACGCACATGCTAAATTAAGGGAAAAAGTAAAACATGTTAACAAATACTGAGGCTAATGTGAAGGATGAAACGGATTATTTCGATTCTTTTTCAGCTTTCAAGTGAACTAATTCGACGAATAATTTTGCAACGTTAACCAGCCTCATGTTTCTTTTTTTACGAAACTAATTTGCAAGCATCATAAATTTTGATCCGTAAATGTTTTCCCAAAGAAGAAAGGAAAAAAGGGCACAAGAAACAACTTTTGACACACATCAACATCAAACAAACACGAATAAGTTTGATATTATGTGGTTCTTTGATGAAAATGAATGGCTCAAGAGCAGCAATAAAGAAGAGAAGGAAAACTTGTTTGCTTTTTTTCCGAAATGCTTTGGACGACAACAAGCAAGAAATTTATTCATTTTTAATGAAAATTGTTAGTTCGGAAAAAAGGCCTAAAGAGTTGTGTGGGCGGACTTCATTAAGACTATCGACGTTCACATATTGACCGACATATATTCTCATCGTAACAGTTTATGAGTCCCCTGAGTGCAGAATTTAATACACAATAAAATTCTTTATTTTTTTTCGGCTGCTGTTTGTAAATTGATTTGCCTCAAGCTTTATTTTATTTTATTCTGCTTTTTGATGAAGATAAAAGTAACCGGAAAAAAATAAAAAAAGGAATGAACTGAAACATTCATTTGAAATGAGAAAATTTCCATCTGATTTTAAAGAGGGACGAAACGAAAGCAAACATTTCACTTGTTTGTGATTGCAAAGGAACAGAAAACAAAGTTGATGTTGGCATTAATTTTTTTTTATGTTATGGCCAAGGGTCAGTGTCAGAAAGTAGTTTGTCGGAACAACCTAATTTGAAATACGTGAAATGAACTTGTGATTGTTTTGTGACTGAATTCAGTCGCGGTCAAATGTTAAATTTCTTCTTACTTCATTTGAACCGTAAAACTATTTATGCTTGCTTTGTGTTCTGTCGATGAAAAGTTGAATTGAAAATCCCCAAGAATTAATATAATGGAAGGAATTTTGGCAATATTAGCTACCAATGCTTTGGGTTTGTTTTTGATGCTTGAAGCAACCAAAGTTTGCACAAATTCCATTCTAATTGAAATTATTCCGAACATGTACAGAAGTGAAGTTCTAAGCTCTCCAATGTTGTTTGAGGGAAAGACAAATCTTTGTTCATTTCATTGTGAAGGCAATAACGAGATGAGTTTTTGTTTTTCTGTTTCCCATTCTATTTAATTAATAGCCTTGGGGCCCATCTCTGTTGGTTCATGCTTTTGTCATGTTTCAAGTTGAGATGAAAATCTCTACTGAATTGTTTCTTCTCTTCTTTATCGGTATAATTCAATCGATTTGTTTATATACGTTTTAGCAAAAATAGATGTCGATTAGTGACATGAAACTGTTTGTTCGAATGACGTATTGGGAAAAGTTTAACAAGCATCAACTACTCACGTCTGCATGCCTTTTTGTGGGTGATTGGTTTAGTCAAATCACGGTAGAATCCTTCTTTGCAGTAATGACAATGTCTTCCAGCTGTATCATGTCTACAGTCGACGCAAACTCCGCCCGAAACTCTCCCAGATAACTTGTACAACTCCAAGTTGAAGCGACAACGTCTGGCATGTCCATTACAATTGCAAGCTGTAAAATATTTAATAGAGAAATGAATTAATTGAGATTTTGATTTAAAATGTAATTGTGAATAAGTTGCGTGAATTAAAATGCATTTCATTGCTTAGGCCATTCGATATTCACATCAATTTACAATTTGACGACTGATTTTTTTCCATAATTAAATAAACACAGCAAAATAAAAAAATTTCAGCGTGCGAGAGTGACAATAACATTTACGATTATTTTCCTTTTATCGCATTAAGAAATGTTTTAAGAACCAGTCATAAAGTAATAATTTTAACAAATCAGCAGGCTTCCTCGTTTCAACTCATGTACCACTTTTGGCAATTACATTTTTCACTCATCAGGTGATCAAGTCATAATCGCATGAAGCAATAAGTGGCTTTAAAAGTAAACAGAGATTTTTATTATTGAACACCTCTCAGGATTCGTTTCTTTGATATATTTTATTGAAGCTTCCTATTGAAGAAATGATTTTGCATCGCAAATTAATCGCGAGATAAATTAAATTAGAAAATCGTTTTTAGACCAACGCGTTCATTTCATGTGAGTTAAGCGTCTGCTTCATTTCAATCTTCTCTTCATCTCAATTTCGTGGAATATAAAATGTGCAGAAAAATAAAGAATTCTTCATTTTCAGCATCATCACCGACACTTCATTCCAGATTGTTATTGAAAGATTCTCTCGACTCATTTTCAAGATCATTTAGCGCTTGTTTTTCATCGAACCAGTTTTAACTTCTTTTCTCATCTCGATTTGCTTTCTCGTCTTACACAACAACATCTGTTGTTGACTGCATGCTTTTATGGAAACATAATCTGATGATTATTGTCTCGATTTAGTATCGCGATTTTATATAATGACATGTAATGAATTACAATGACGATTGAATCACAAAAAAAAAAAAATTTAACATGCATTGGAAAATATTCATGAACTGACATTGGATATTGAGACAGTTGAAATGCGGTTTGTGAATTAAAAATCTCACAAATCAACCTTGCAGTAGATAGAAAAAAAAGTTTCAGTTTTCATAAAGGCGCACATTGGGTCGCATAACGAGCATGAAAGTCTCATAAATATTGCAATTAAAGTTATCATAAAGTTTAATTTAATGCAAAATAGCAGCACCGATAAATCATGATTATAGTTGAGAGAGTTTTATAATCGCTTTTCTTTTATTTTTTTGGGCTTGTTGTTTGCCACACAATCCGCTCTGTTCCGTGCTGTTATCGTCTACGATGTGAACAAGAAAATGAGACCACCAGAGTGAACCAAACTAAAATTGTGGTGGATTCAATGTTCTCTCTCCATCTCTTCACTCGGCATGTGCTTCAACCTGAAAATGCTTTTTCATATTGCATGATTTGATATGGAATAATTTCATGATTCATTCAAAATTAATGTTGTGACGTTGCATATAATAGGAGAGGGAAGGAGAGAGAGATTAATGATCGCCAAGCATATTCCGCAATCATATTGTTGTGATTTATTTTGTCGCGTTTGTTTCGGCATCAACATAAAGGGCGCTTGATAAAAGCGCATGTTGCAGTTTGCATTCGCAAATATTTCTTTAAGATTTATGTAATTTATTATTGTTAGTAAAGAAATAATTTTATATTTACTTTCAAGCTAAAGTTATTTGAATTTTTGTGATTTCAAATGTGAACTTGTTTAAGATAAACTTCAAAAGTTTTTTTGTCAATATTTAAACGTGCACTGGAATTTCACAATAATTTTGCAGGGCAAACAACATCGTTATGAAGTTTGTCGTACACATAAATTTTCGTATTAATGAAGTTAATCTCTCGGTAGTTTCAGAAAGCCACTTAATGAGTCTCGCTGTTGTGTAAACATGGAAACTTCTGTTGTGGGCTAAGCGAACTCAATGTCTGAGTATATTTAGTTGACAAAGTGTTTGATTTTACGGAAATGACATCTTTCAAATGTTAATTGATTTGAGAGACTACCACTTAACCTTGCATAACAAATTTGAAGACATTCGATAAACATAAAATCATGTGGAGGTGAAGGAACGCATCTTGAACCTCGACACAAGTGCTAATGCACAACATAAATAGAACCGCAAAAATATTTTTCTAACACATTCATTTTTAAACGAACTCTTTCAAGCGTAATAAGAGACAGAAGTTGAGATAAATACAAGCGATGTTATTGCAACACATTCACGAGATCATTAAATCATTAGCATTCATACCCGCCTTCAAGTTAACTCAACACAATGGGCTTAGACGATCTCATTTACTACTTTCCTTACAACCGCAGTGATTTTATTTTCTGAGAGTTGTTTACAAGTTTTTCTTCCGTGATGTTTTGTTTTAAAACTGTAATTTGTCATTGACTTCCCTCAACTTTCTGAAGCTGACTCTTATCCGCCCTCCTGTAGTTTCAAGTTTCTCTCAATAACAATATTTTCAGCTTCTGACTTGCTCATCCAAATCCAATGAAAAAAGAAACGAGAATGAAGCAGAAAATTTATTCATAACATTTTTGGAGTCGCACGCTCTTTGAGGAGAAATTTAATTTCGAGTTGAATCGACGTCCCATGAAAATTATTCATCAACAGAAACTCCCAATGACTTTTAATTTTGATCACGTTTTTCTATTAGCTATTAAGGATTCACAATTCATGAATTTTATGACATTTGGGTAGTGAATAAAATTCCTGTGGTTGCTTGTTTTGTTGTGTTCACGATCTTTCACGAGATGGGATGTTGTTAAATACATTTCGAGAAGAAAAAAGGAATTTTATATGTGGAGTTCGAATCACGTTCCATCCTTGGAGAATAAGAAGCGAAGGGATGAAATTTCTTTGTTTATTTAACCGAATTTCGATGTGATGAAATGTGTGGATGGTGGAATGAATAAATAAGTGGAAGTAGATTTAATTTGACAGCTTTTCAATGGAAGTTTCTTTTCAGAATTTTTTCGATTGCATTGCAAAAGTTTGGAACTGATCAAAAATCATCTTGATGTGGGATGGAAAAAGAAATGTTCAGACGAAATAAAAAAGTTTTTGTTCTTCAACATTTAGACAGTCGAATTAATAGACTTAAGTCTTTCTCTTCTTCGGCGTTATTCTTTTTCTAGTTGATGCAATAATTTTAAATTAAGACCCATTAGTAGAATGCTTACGATGTGCTTACGAGTTCAGAAAATTTACTTTCGTTTTTCGAAGATTCAAGCACAGATAACTAAAAGAAGAAGAAAAAGCGAAGTGGCAAGACCATTACTTTAATTAATGGACCATTTGTTATTGCTTTTTTTTTCGTCTTGAAGACAGATTTTCGGGTCGCGTTCGAATTTATTGAGTTTCCTTAAACAACGACATTAATTTGTTTTTAATTCTAAATTAATTCATTTCACTTTCTTTATTGCAAAACGTTGTCAAGGCTTTTTTCATTATTAATTAATTAACGCACATCAGAGCTTCATCAAATTATTTTTCAATGTGAGATTGAGACTTAAATAGAATCTTATAATGAGTCATGATTTACAAATGATTAATTGATTTACTTTCATGATTTGATCTTTTCGCTCTCTGTCTCTCTTCTTTCATGATTGTTTTTAAAAAGATAAGAATTTGAGTACGTAGACTGTTGAAAATCAATTGCTAAACGTAACTCAGACACAAAGGAAAATTGCAAAAAAATATTCACAAGATCTAATCTTGAAAAATTATTCACGCGATGTGCGGCATCAAATTTGAGACAAATTATTTTTCGATGATTAATTGTTGTTTGAATTGATTCAGTGCCGCTGAATTTTAATCGATTTTTTCTTGAGTATTCAGCGCTCTTAAATGACTTCAACGAGACTCTTGCGAAAAACGCTTGAGATGAATTTCAATTTCAGATGCCAAATAAATGAGCGTACTTTAGAGTAAATTAAGTGAACGATTAATGAGAAGGATTTGAGTGATATTGAGATCTATTGTCTGGCAATGATCTTGAGATGATAAGTGTGGAAGCAAAGTTTGAAGGTCAACGAGTTTGATTAGAGTGTTGAACAGCAAATATATTTACATGATGCTGAACATGTGTGATTGGGATTACATTTACTTCACATAAACGTAAATCACCACAATCTAATACAATGGAAGATGCTATAAAATGCTCGTCTATTCATTCTCGCCTCAACAACATTGATTATCCATAAGTTCAAGCACTAACAATGAATAAATTGATGATTTGGACGATCGTCGTTGAGTAACGACTGCCATGATTGATGATATAATGTGAGTTCGAGCGCCTCGTATATTACCAATATCGCTTATCGGTCAGGTGTAGTCAACAGTAAAAATAATTGCTTTTCTTGCCTGCTTCAAATACAATTTTTTTCTCTTTTTCATTTCATAAAACATTAAGTTTTCGAATGTTTGGTGAGACGAATATGATTGATTGTTTGTTTGGAAGATGAAACGACAGGTCGGAAAGATAGCGAGTTCAACAAGAACATGTTCTAACGGCTTCGAATCACGATAAAGTGAATTTTGTATTTATTTACCATGTTCTCCTTTGCAATTGATAATGACAGAAGAATAAATGAGTAGCGACACTACAAATGTATTCAAATGTTTGAAAATTTAAACAAGTCAAAACACCGGATAGAAGATTGAAGATGCCATTAGCAAAGAATTTATTTCTCTTCGTACAATGCGATAAAAACACCACTGAAAGTGAAATCATTTCGACATTTCGTTCTTTCTGAAACGCAAATGAAGAAATTTTCCCATCTCGTTCAGAGTTTTTTTTTCTTGATAAAAGAAAAGACAAACTGCACTCGCTGACTCATCATTTCAGTTTCTAAAAGCATTCCCAAGTCTAAGCAACGAGAAATTAAGACAAATTTTATTTGCTGTATGAAAAGACGGGAAAAATAAACAAAAGACAGAAATGAAAAGCAGGAGCTTCGGGTGTTCATCATTGCCGCAAGACATCAATTTGAGCATTTACTAAGATAAATAATTAATTCATCAAAATCATTAGAAGAGTTCGCAACAATTTGCTGTTGGCAATATGAATGTTTTATGTTTTAAAAGTATTTTACAATCCATGTAACAACTACTGCATATTTTCCCTTGAAATGATCTCTTTCTGTCATGTTTGATGAGCGAGACCTTGAGGGCAATGATAAACCCGAATATCGATTTCTAATAGAAAAATACATAAATAAAGAAACAGACACATCGTCTCGGGATTATGAAATAAATGTTTTGAAATTTTCTATTTTTGACTTCACATTACAATGAATGCAAAATGTAAATGTTGCAAATATAAAAAAAGTTTCATCTTCACTTCTTTCCAAACACACATAAATTTTAGTTAAAGAAGAGATTCATTTTTATTTGAATATTTTCGCCTTTGTTTCTCGTTCCGAGCTATTTAAACATTTTATTTTATTTCTCAAGTAATATAATTTTTTATATTATTAAAGTTAACTCATGTAGCACGCGACATCTTACTTATGCTAGATGGTTGAAATTATTCTTCCTTTCTTACTTATGTGAATTTACTTATGTGATTTTATGGAAAAGACGACGACATGGAATGCACATGCATTAAGTTCACATCATAATTTACACTTTTTTTGAATCATTGCCAGTAAATATTCTCATGTAATTTTTTTTATGCATAAATCCTTGAAGTCATTGCAATAAGCATATTAAAAAATTTTTTTAATATCAGCTAGATAAATAAAAAAAATCATCAAACTAGTCAAGGATGTATTTATAATAATTTTAATCATTAAATTAAAAGTTAATGCCATGTAAGATGAAAATTTTAATTAGAGTACGATGCAAGGAACTTTATTTATAGCTTGTAATTAAAATAAGGGTTTCTTCAGTTCTTTCCCTTTTACTTTCGCGATCGTTCAAGCCTTCTCATGCAGGAAAATCTCATGAAATTGCTGTTTGAAGTATGTGCAGAAGAAAGCATATGGTAAATGTTTTTATCAAGCTATATGTTGAAATCAGTAGAGAGGAAAACGGCGAACATGAGTTTACTAACTCCTAAATAGCTGTGGGGAGGATGAAACATTTCAATGCTTTTTAAATAATTTTCTTAGAAAGATGCTTTTCCCCCTTTCATCCTTCAGACATTTAAATTTTATGTAACAAATTTATGGGAGTTTTATGAAAGATAACTTTCTCGTAGCGGATGAATTTGTAGACGCACAATTCGTGTTGTGCAAGATTACCAAAAGTTGAGACAAAAGAATCAGGAAAATGAGAGAAATTTTCTCCAACAATTTTATCTGCAACGAAGTCTGTCATTGTCATCCCAGAAAGAAATTTAATGAAACCACGATTCCCTGATTTAATATCTAATTAGAAGTTACAAAAAGATTAGTGTAGATATTAACATTGTAACATTTTTCACCTGGGTTAAAGAACCAGCATAAATTAAACTTTGAATCATGGCTTAACATTTTTCATCTTCTTATTTTAATTTGTTCATTTTTAAAAAAACTTTAACCTCGACTTCGAAGTCAACTCCAACTCCCTTAAGCATCATAAATTTTCACCACCAGCCGCTTTTATTTCCCTAACGATTTCCGAACACACTCCAAGGATGCTAATATTATTTATTTAATTATGTGTATAATGCCAGACAATTTGAAAGACTTTCGTGAATGGAAAACAAGTGAACGGAATTGTATTTACATAGCTGTAGTAGAAGAAAAGTTTATTCATGCGTCTCATAGAAATTAATGATGATTTATGACAAACATAACAACAGATTAGATTAGAATTGGAAATTTAATTTTTCGGATTGAAACTTTTCCTACAATAGACACCAATGGAAGAACTACCGGCTAATCGACGTGAGAGTTGGAGAGAAGATAAAGCGATGCATGAACCTCAACTATGAAAAAAATTCCAAATATCGCTTTAGAAGACTGATAAAAATTGCTGTCATATCTCATCGGATGCTTACCGACACTGAGACAGAGACAGAGAGAGATGAAAAACCTTGCATTTTAATCAGATATAAATCTTTTTGAATAGATATTTTATTTGGTTTTCGAGTTTCTTTCGTTCTCTTTTTTTTTCGCACGAAGTTCTGATTGAACAGATTTCTAGAAATTTAAATTGGAAAACCTCAGTCAAAATATTTGTTTTCTGGTTATGGAGATAGAGAAACATAACAGGAAACAAAGAATCCTAAAATTGAAATGTCACCACAAACTGATAGATAACTGTAATTTATTGGTGAAAAATTTTGCATTAATTTAGAATAAAAAATTGGGTGAGAATTGCGCAAAGCAAGCCTTAAGCTGTCGCTTTTCTTCCTTTTTTTCGTTTCTTTTTTAAGAGGGCTGGAAAGCGATAACATTGCATGATAAAATGCCATCTATCATGGTAAAACCATTTACATTATTGCGCTCAGTTTTTCTGTTCGTTTTTTCCCATCAGTTGAGGTTGTTGTTCCCTCTTGAATCAATATTTGGAAAATGTCTGATGAAGTGTGACAGAAATGCCATTTAACTCTCAATTTTATGTCAGATATGAACCGAATTTCCACACTTTAATATCATTTTATCGGTATTGAAGTACTTACTAGCTAGCATTCTTTTCAGCTATCAAATTCAAAGTTTTATATGCGGTCGCTGGTGGAGATTTTTTTTCTTTCCTTTCTTTTATTTATTCTTCGCTATTGTAGTGTGAAAATCATTTTCTATTTTCACTTCATATCAGCTTGCTTTTATGAGCTCTTCTAAAACTTTTCCCTTCTATTATTATTTTACAATCAAGTCAACATGAACAAACTAAATGAACGATACAAAGGAAATGAAGCGAAATTAAAGATTACAATGAAGGTAAATTGAACAACTTTAGTATTGAATTTTGCTTTCAAATTATGGACACGAGAAAAGAGTTTTTCTGTTTAAAGATTAAAATTAAATTGGAGATGGGGAAGCTCCACATGGGGAGCTTCAAATTATGCTAAGTTAGGGTACGTATTCGGCGAATACGAATATTCGTGTATTCGTACTTTTATGCAAGTATTTGGCATACCGAATATTCGCCGAATATTCGGTACGTTATTCGCCGAATACTAGTTATATTTTTGCTTCAATTTTTGTTCCTAAATTTAGTGAAAATTTCGAAAATTGACAAATTAACTTTCAAAATTATCCTAAAATATGATAATTTTTTTCTGCTTTAAATTTATCAACTTTTAT